TGCCCTCCTGGGACTCACCCAAGAGCTTCTGCAGCACCTGCCCGTCGAACAGGTCCTCCTCCAGCTGCTTCACGATGATCCTGTCCTCCACCAGCACGTCATTGATCCAGTCGATGAGAACCTGGGCGGGGGCGGGCGTGAGGCCAGCTCAGCAGCGCCCCCAGACCATACTCAGTGGTGCCCCCCAACCCCTGACCACGCTCAGCAGCACCCCCAGAACAGGGCAATGGTCAGAGCAGCTGCAGGAGACACGAGCTGCCGGACATTGGACATCAAGATGCCCTCGGCACAGGGGCCTGGGGGTGGGGCCGGAGGGGCTGACCCACCCGGGCTGCCAGGGTTCCCGAGGGGATTCACGAGAGCCCCCTAGACTGGGCCTCCCCCTGGCGGGGACTCGGGGAGGCGGGGACTCTCAGCCAAAGGGAAGGGTGGCACCAGCAGGGGGTCGAGTGAGTCGCTGTTAGCAGCACTGCCCGCGTGGCCCCGGCAGTCCAGGGGGGCTAAGATGTCTGTCCCCTCCCCTCCTGTCAGATACGCCCCAGAACAGTCCCGAACACCCGGAGCCTAACCCCAAAGCTGCAGAGAAGAGGGGACCCCAACAGGTCCCCAAGCTCTGAGCTCCTACTCTTTCTAGCAGCTTTACGGACAGTCACACCCCACACAGGCCTGCTGGTACAGTGTGCGAGCCGGCGTTGCTGGTGCACCCACAAAGCCATGCCACCGTCCCCGTGACCACCTGAAGGGCATCCTCGTCACCCCAAAAAGAAACCCCGTACCTACCCATAGTCACTCCCCCCCCCGCCCCCCAGTTTCTTCCCACCACTAAGCTATCTTCCCCGCGTACAGATTCGCCTGTTCTGGGCGTTTCATCTGAATGGAGTCATATGACACATGATCTTCTATGTCTGGGTTACTTCATTTAGCGTGATGTGTTTTTTGTTTGTCTTTGTGTTGTTGTTTTTATTGATTTCAGAGAGGACGGGAGAGGGAGAGAGAGAGAGAAACATCAATGATGAGAGAGAGTCATGGATCGGCTGCCTCCTGCACGTCTCACACTGGGGATCAAGCCCACAACCCGGGCACGTGCCCTGACTGGGCATCGAGGGTGACCTTCCTGTTCATAGGTCGACGCTCAACCCCTGAGCCACGCCAGCCGGGCCTGAGTGATGCTGTCATCCCGTCATAGGTGGGTCTGTACTTCCTGTGGGTGGATCGCATCCCAGGGATAAACATACGCGTCTGACGGAGCCGCCATCAGAGGGCGGTCCCCCTTTGCGGCGTGTGGATACGCGCTGTGAACACAGGGGCGCCTGCTCATTCCTCCAGGCAGCCTGCCTCTTACGCAGGGGTCCTCAAACTTTTTAAACAGGGGGCCAGTTCACTGTCCCTCAGACCGTTGGAGGGCCGGACTACAGTTTAAAAAAAAAACTATGAACAAATTCCTATGCACACTGCACATATCTTATTTTGAAGTGAAAAAACAAAACGGGAACAAATACAATATTTGTATTTGCATGTGGCCCGCGGGCCATAGTTTGAGGACCCCTGCTCTTACGCTCTTTCTCAACAATGTTCCCCAGGGGACTTATGGTGGTTTATTACAAACAAAGACAGCGTCGACTGTGGGGCTGTCTGTAGAAAGCGAGGACTCCGCCCAGCACGAAGCTGCGTGGCCAGTGCTGCTGACGTCACTTGTCCACAAGACAGAGCGGATCAGATGGACACCTGGACAGGCTCCCTCAGAAACAGTCACCCCGTGGTTTTCTGTGCAAGGGAAGCAATAAAACTACCGAATCGGTGCCCAGAACCTCCTGGGAATGGAAGATTATTGCCGCTCTCAGAGACGAACGAAAGGGCATGAATGCGGAATAGAGTGTTCTCCGTCACTTTGAAACAAGCAGAACTGGCCACAAAGCACCGTCCTGTAAGGTGGATCCCGTTTCCCCACTGACTCAAAATCATTAACTCAGACACCCCATCCGCGAGGAACAGAAGTAAAATCAATGGAGGGTGGTTTGCAGGAAGGCAGGGGTGAGCAGCCCGGGCATTCGGTTCTGTGAAGGTCCTGCCGAGGTCAGCAGGCCCCCCGCTCGGCCCCCTCCTCTCGCCCCGGAGGGTCAGGCCAGGCGGCGTGGGCGTGGGGATGGAGCCAGGGGGGCCCCTCGTCTCTGACCACCCTTCCGGTTTCCTTGGGGGGGGACTTCCTGGTCGCCCCTTCTCCTCCTGATCTTTAAAGAGCATGTTCCTGAGGCCTCGCCCTGGGCAACTCCTCTTCTCACTGTCCACTCTCCTCCGAGGCCAGCTCAGGGCTCCCACCACTTCCAACACTGCCCTCGCCCCGGAAACCCCACCCTCGCCCTGCACCGTCTTCCGCTCGGCGTTCCAGGAGCTCCTCTCACTGAATTCATCACCCCCAACCCTGCTCCTTCTCCGAGAGGAAACAAACCGTCCACGAGTCTCAGGGCCTGGACTCCACCCCAACCCCACTGCTGCCCACTTCTGAGCTGGGTCCACTTCTCACCACCTCCTCCCCCACCGCCCTTGTCCAAACCACCTCCCTGGGCCAATGCCACAGCCCTCACGGAGCACCCTCTCGCCGGCTTCTTCCAGTCCCCACTCTTCTCTGCCCCAGGGCCTTGGCACGTGCTATTCCTCCACCCTGAACACATCCCCCTCCCTCACTGCCTGGCCAGCTCCCACTCATCCTTCAGGTTGCAAGCTTCTGTTTCATCCCCTGACCACCCACCCTTCCCAGGCCACCGCCTCACCCCCCGGCTCCCAGCACAGCCCAGTGCCTTGTCCCCTGACGCTGCTCGCACAGGCCATGCCAGCACATGTTGTTTATAACGATCTCCCCTATGGGACTGTAAGTTCTCTGAGGGCAGGGACTATGGCTGTCTTGTTTGTGGTTCTGTCCCCGCACCCAGTGCTCACAGCTTGGCACTGGAGCTCCACACTCAGATACTGAGTTAATTAATTAATTTACTGAGGACCTACTATGTGCCAGGCCCTGGGAATAGAAAAGCCAGGGGCGCCTGTGTCCTTGGGTTCCTGACGTTCTAATCAGACATTAAAGACACACACAGGCTTTCAGGACGGGACGGGCATGAGGGAGGGAGGGAGGCAGGTGCAGTGCAGAAGCTGGACACACACCTCAGCCGGCGACCAGGTCAGCTGGACGCCACCTCCCAGGGGCTGACCGTGGGACAGAGCCAGGACGGTGCCCGAACCATGGAACCCCTGGGAGGGTCTGGGGCACGCAGACCTCCGGCCTCGGTGGCGGCCTTGCCCGGGGCGCAGTCCTACAGGGAGACGCGGGCAGATGCCGCTTCGGCCGAGAGGAGGCTAAAGCTCCCGAAATCCCGTCTGGATCTCGGACCCAGTCAAGGCCCAAACACCAACCACAGCCAGACCAGGAGGAAACCAGCTCCGCCCAGCAGGCCGGACGCCCCGC